CCTACCAATTTGGTTTGAAACTGTCTCATTGCTATTTGTTTCTCAATAAAGTTATGGGAGAAAAAAAGCCACTCCTTTGTAACACCCACCCACACCAATCCTGGCAACATGAGGAATATAAGAACAAAGTTCTGCTCGTCTACCCAGCTAGTAACCCCAAGAAGAAGGGGTGACAAGTGCCAGTGGGCATAACTTGTTCCGCATGCATGTACACTGTTTCTAAGAGCCACAGATTATGGTCCTTAGAATCTGGCTAGTCTCCTGGTCAGTAATTTCAACACCACATTTCCACTCATTCTTTTTTTTTTAGAGAAGAACAAGGTTTGCGTCCTGGCATCTCCTTATAGCAGGGAGTTCTTTTATTCACTGTTCTGATGCTCCTGGCACATAACAGGCTGAATATCCACGTGCATCTGTGTATGTTTCATATAGTGAATGAATATATACATTTGTACATAGTCCTCTTCATGAACATACTGTATATATTGAACAATACTTTTTTATAGAGGTGAAGATTGTATTAGCTTTATATTCAAATTCCGACATTTCTAAAGCATTTGAATCTTTTTCTTACATACTGGTCACAAAGCCAAGTCTTATACCTCATTAATGTATGTTTAATTGATTTTTCAAAAGTGTTTTTCCTTTTGATCTTTTTGTACTGTACTGAATTTTAAACAGTTCTGATATATATTATATATGTATGTATATATACAGATTCAATAAGATTTTTTGGTAGTGGGTTCATGACTGACTGCTCTTACTAGCTAGTTTGGCAATATTATAGCTCAAACACCACATCCTTCAGGTCCTGTAGGCAGCCTCCCTGATCCCCCCACTAGGGGGTCAGGCCCTCCTAATCTCTGCTCCCTCTCACATGGTTCTTATTACTAAGCTGCGCGAGAAAGGAGGAACGTTTCTGTGTTTATTTACTGCATTCCCCAATTCCAAACTCAGTGCCCAGCAGTACGGATGTTTAACCAATATCTGAATGGAGAAACGAAGTCGGGGATGTATTTTGTCCCTGTCAACAGGAAAGGATCCATTCAAGATAAGCAGGTGCGCTTATGTATCTACTCACCTGTCTTGTATTTTCTTTTAAGCCCTATGGAGGTAGAATTCTCACCCATAAAATTCACCCATTAAGTTCTTGCTAATGCTTTCTTCCTTTCCATTTTGTGTGGGAAGGTAAGGGGGGTGGAGGGTTCCAAACAGAATAATTTTGGATTGAGTGGAGACTGGCTCTGAAAGCCCAATTTATCAGGCTTTACTCCCTAGCTTTGTTTTTCAAATGTGACCTTCCTTAAGCCTCAGCTTCTGATTTATATAACTAATAGAGCGTCTTCATTGTGTCCTGTATGCATTACATGGGATGACACATGTAAGATTCCCTGAAGAGCCAGTAACTTTAAAAAATGCAGACTCTCTCCCTTCTCTCTGGCATCCATTAACCCTGGACCTCCTAAACAGCAGGGCCGTTCTTTATCATAATTTTGTTCTGAGTATACTGATAAAATACCCAACCATTTTGCTTCCGTAGTTTCTCGCAAGCCCCGCTTCATTCTGCGGTTTAGCTTGCTTGGCACAATTCTTACAGGTTTGGTCTCTTTCATTTGTTCCTCAGCATATGCTTTTTCTCTCCATCTTTAGAATATGCTGGGATCATCAGAGTGTTTTAACGGGGCTTTTTTAGTTGCCTTTGCCTTTCTTCACTAGGAGCAGTGTGAACCCGGAATTTTATTCAAAGCTTCCGGCTCTGAATACTGATTTTCTTTTCATGACATCTCTTCTCAAAAACCTATCTTTCCCCAGGATATGCTTCCTAAAGCTTCGACTTCCTGCCTTCGAGGTCTTCTATCACAGTCACAACCCCCAGGTATCTGCCACTTCCACAAGACCTACCAATTCTCTCCTGGGGGTCACATTACATCAGCATTATTAATCCAATGTCTGTTATACGCCAGGTTTTGCTTTATTCGAGGCGGTCAATTACAAACGAACCTCGATGCCGGCTTGATGTACCATGGAGGATGGAATGTTTAAGGTTAAGTGCAAACTACTGCTACATTGGGAGACATATTTACATTAAATATATACCTGTTGAATTCGTGCTTTTTCTTAACGCTTCAGCGACACCGCGGTTTTGAGTGATTGAGATGGTAGAGAGCATGGGTTTCCAAAAATTTTGTTAAAAATAAAGACTTCATCCATCAAAGAGACTGCCCCCGCATAGCCAAGAAACACCGACCAACACAATCCATTTTCACAACCACCCGATTATCTCACCAGCGAGTGAGACTGCAAGGTTTGAGGGTCCGGCTGTACCACTCCGCGCCGCGCAAGGGGGTGTTCGTGCCCATTTGCCGGTGTCTGGCCAGGTTTCCCTTCGCTTGGTTTTATCCCTGCGCCCCCTGCGCAGGCATCCACAGTGCATCAGGCCGGTGCTTTATAGCTGCAGCCTGGGCGGCTCCGCTCGCTGTTTTTCTTCATTGGGTTGGGTCTTTCACTGTTCGCGAAGATGCAGCTCAAGCCGATGGAGATCAACCCCGAGGTGAGCGCCAGGTGCACCGTTCCCGGGGAGCGCAGGCCTGAGGTCCCCTTGTTGCCCACTGTTTTTTGTTTATTCTTTTGCCTTTGCCTTTCAGATGCTGAACAAAGTGAGTGGCGTCTCTCTCTGCCCCCTCCCCCGGGAGCCTGGGGTGCGCCCCCTGAGCCGCGCCCTGCGCGCTCCCGAGGTGGCAGGGCTGGGGCGCTGTCTCTGCCCCTGCCTGTGCCAGTGGGGCCTAACTCTGAGGACCTGGTCGGGGGCGACGGAGGAGGATGCGCCCCGCTGGGCGCCGGCTCCCGGGAGAGCTCCGAGGGCGTGGCGCGCGGACTCGGGCAGCCGGCTTCGCGGGCGCCACGTGTGGGCCGCGCTTTGTGCTGTGTCATCGCGCGGCCGCGGGGCTGGGGC